GTGTTTATATGTGTATGAATGAGAGAAAGATTTTTCTTTTAATTTATTTATTTATTTATTTTTTTTACGATAAGACGCGTAGGATCGCTTCATGTTTATTTACTATATTTTATCTCCCAAAGTTAATTTTATTCATAAAATATTGACCACTTTTCTAACATAAAAACTCTTTACAAAGATTTAAAAAAGTATCGTTCATTTTTAGACGGAGCATCTTAAAAAACCGTGCATGTTACTTTATTAAAAAAAAAAAACTCGTGCGTTTTACATTACAATAACGCACAAGTGCGTAATGAAATACATTACGATATTGAAATTGGTGTGATTTCAGCCACTTTACGAGCAAATATGTTATAAAAAATAAAAAGTATTTTAAAAATATTCATTTTGTTTTTGTGCAATTATATACTTGCGATGCGTTTTTTTTTTTCATTTCAACATATGATTGTAAAGTTAATGATGCAGACTGAATATTCAATTACATGTATGTAACCAATAAAGTCATTATAAAAACTATTATGACTAATAGTAATAACTTTTTCAAGTGACTGATAAAGCGATTGTTGTGTTCTCATAGATGTGTTACCTGTTTAGTTATTTATGGTAATGTTATTTTCTAATTTTTATAAGTGGAAGCTTTTAATTGGCATCTGATTATTTAAATTTAAATCCATGTTGTAAAAGTAACTGTGAGCTCCCCTAAGATGATAATAGTACATTACGATATTAGTGCGTAAAGATGGTTATAACATGCGAGGCGGAGTTTTATTGAGCCGAGCATGTTATAACCAATACGCACGTATATCGTACGACGTTTTTTAACACATTTGCGAGGAAACAGAAAAAAAACATTTTATATTTTGTTCATTTTTAATTATTGAAACAGTTAGTGAAATTACAATTATTAAAATGATACGTAGTTGTAGTTGGTTTTTTAATTATGTTATTATTATTATTATTATTATTCATAATGTCATTGTTTTGTGTTAGGGTAAATGTTGGAGACGACGAAACTTCTTGAAAGGCGGCAGAAGAGCATTGTAATTCGTCATTAGTTGTAAATAAAAAAGTATCATCAGTAGAAGTAGAGGGGCGCGGCTCAGGGCAAAACTTCTTCGTTTGTGGCTCCAAATTTATTGCCTGAGTTATTTTGGCACTTATATTTGCTTTGTTTTGGATGGAATCTTCTACATAAGATTCTGCTACTGCGTTAGAACGCCAGCCGCCATGCCGCTTTAAAGTCAATATATCAGCTCCCGAATCAGCAAGTAACGTAGCTGACGTTCTTCTGAAACTGTGCCCTGTATAACAATCAGCATCCGGCAATCCTAAAAACTTGGCGACTTCCTTTGGCATGGTACCGAATTTATTTATGCCAATAGGTTGCGCAGTACATTTACCTTTTTGGGAATTTTGTAAGAAATGATTACTTTTTGTCTTAGTCGTACGCAGAGCTTCATATTTTTTGACCACGTCATAAAATGGGCCGTCGATAATAAAAGATCGGGGTATTTTGTTTTTAGTGCTTGGGATTTTAACTAAAAGCATTTTGCCTTTATTTTCAATGTCTTTTGTGGTAATATTGTGAAGCTCTTGCCGTCTACATGCACCATGAATACCAAATATTAACGCAACCTGAAAAGAAATAAAAATGTGTTAGATGAGGTATAGGTACTTACATATATATAGCTTACAGACAGTCGTTAAAAAAATATGTAAAAGAGTATGTACAATTGTACAGTAGGTAGACCAATACATAAAATAAGGAGGCAAACTGACCTTTGTTTCCAGGTACTGGCTATCTGGAGCATCTTTTAGAAACTTTTCGACGTCATTTACTGACAGTACCTTAGATTTTTTCTTTATAAAACCATCAGAGCGTCTCTTTAAAAATGCAATTAGATTTGTATATAAATTAATATCGACACCATTTTTCATCTTGAGGGTACTTTTCAGCACAGAATATGTTGTCCACAACGAGCTAGGCTTATATTTACTAGCTAGTTAATTAAAATACGCCAAAACTACATTTTCGGAAAATGACTTGGCATTTTTCATGTTTTTCCACTTCAAGAAATTTTCATACGTGGTTATGTATCTATCCTTGGATATTGACGGCAGCAAGCTGTCGCATGCGGTTCGCGCTTCTGTTAGTATATCCGGTGGAGTTGAAGTAATATATTGCTCATCTTCATTATTGAAAGTTGTCATTTTTAGATATTCACAATACAAGTACAAAGAAAAGAAAATTTGAGAAAAATGGCGCGAGGATTATTTTCTACCGTGGCTGCGTGAAAATGTTGGCAAAGACGCTAGAGCATGCAGCCAAGTTTTTAAATTACCAAATAAACAGATTTTTTTTTTAAATAAACTCAATCTGTGAATGCACACTGTTGCTTTCCCGCCATTTTAACAGAACTGCCTACTGACTGGCGCCGCGCGGCGATTTGTTCGAAATTTGAATAGCAACAGCGCGCTGCTCACTAGCTGGAGCCGTGCGGCGGCAATCAGTTCCATATTTGAAATGGCAAATAATACTGTTATGGAATTTGTATGGACTATAACTTAACTATTTGCTTTGGTAACACACGCGTTTTTTATGACCCGCTTTACATATTTAAAACCGGTGGAATTACATCGGTCGAACGTAGATCAGTTTTGACATTTTAGCCGACTTCAAAAAAGGAGGAGGTTCTCAATTCGACTTTTTGTGCATATTTTACGCGATTACTCCGGCATTTATGAACCGATTTTGATGATTCATTTTTGTTGGAATGAAGATACTGATTAAATTTGAAGAAAATATTCCACCTCTAAGGCTCAACTCACACTGGCGCAGAGTTGAAGCGTCGCGTCCTGTTTTTCAACTACAACGCATGACGACGCCCGTCGTCGCGCGAGGACGCTCGCATTAGCGCGCTCGGGTCACAGTGTGGTCGACGTCTGTCGCGTCACTGCGCGCAAAGCACGCACGGCGACGCGCGAAAATGCTCGACTTAAACCAAGCGTCGACGCGCGATTCCATATTTGCATAACACAAATTTGTACCTTAATAATGGGAAAATGGAGGTGAATATGCTATAGGCGAAAAACATGACGCTTCGACTCTGCGCCAGTGTATGTTGAGCCTTAGGGTGGCAATTTTTTTTTAATATCAAGTTACGGGTCGAACTAAGGAATGAATCCGGTTTCGCAGTCTTTTCTTTAACCGATTTCAATAAAACTTGGCAAATATTTGTAAGTCCAATAAAAAGGCCGATAAGCATACTTTTGAGGTAAGTTTTTTAAATAAAAAAAAAAATTTGGAAATCTGTTCAATGATACCCTACTTTACATACAGTGTAGATCAATCAATCCCGGTCATCACTTTACCAAATTTGGGTATCTAATAGATAGATATTTAGTTATCTAATGCTATAGTGACGGAGAAAATCGACTGTGACCGAACTACATTCTGTTTCCTCTGTCAGATGTATGTACCAAAGAAACAATATGAATAAACTGACAAGAGATTTATTTCACAGTCATCAGAAAACGACAATACTAATTATAATAATTCCTTAATGACCTCGTTTGTTTGAAAAGTTTGCGGAATTACATATATTTATCCTGCGCCAAGGGCCGCGCACTCAATTCGCGTACGTGTTGACCCATTTGAACATGTTGGTAAATCATTAACTTATTTGTTTTCTTTATACAGAATTACAGTTATAATATAGAATTATTGATAGATCACGATTGTTCTTGTAGATGGTGGATCAAGCAAGCGCAGAACATGACCAAGTTGGCAATCAGCGCCAATCTGTGGTATAACAAAACAATATTCTTTGTGATGTATAAAAGTATACAATTTAGTAGGAAACATTTTAATTTTATGATTTTTTACAGGCATCGTCACTGAGCAATTCGACGTCGGTACCAATTGTTGTGGTTGTAGAGCCTGACCCTGACGTACTAGACAGCATAGGTGTACTTATCGACGCGCCAGCGTCTGTGGTACAGACAGTACCGACGCTGGTTCTAGAAACCGTATTACTTTTGAGGCTTAACCTCGCAGTCCTGTTTCTGCCATACGCAGAGGTCGTCGACGTAGAGTACTTACAGCGAAGACGGCCCGTCACCGCTTGTTAGAGAGCTCTAATAGAAGAGCCAATGTAGAAGAAGCTAATTTTACAACTTTTAGATGTCCTCAAAGGAATCCAAGGAACGTTAGGAAGAATTGAAAGTCGGTAAAAATAAGTTTCGTTTCTGCATTATTTTTGTCAGTCAGGATACGCACACACAAAGATTAAGTTCACCACCTTACCACTCCTTCTTTCTATAATTCAGCCTTCCACCTGCCGACCGTTGAAACATCGACCATCCACCACTCGCTCTTCGTGCTTGTGCGCGCAGTTGCAAGAGTAATTTTGTTTTTGTTTTAATTTTTTATTCTAGCATGTATAATTTTAAATAATAATAAAAGTTTGAAAAAATTATACAATCTTTTTATTTACATAGTAGTATAATTATTATTTTTCCTTATTAAAGCGACTTTGGACCGTAATTGATTTAGTGGGGACGGCTGTCAATTCATGTTTGTTCCATATTTTTCTATATAAAATAAACACACTTAGCCACGATCTCACCAGATGTTAATTAGGATAGTACGTATTTGTCTAAAATGCCTATACACTTATTAATATAGTTGTGAGTGCTTGAATTGATTAAATAATGGTAGATAATAATAATAAAGATATTATAATAATTTTAATTCAATCGGAACTAAAGGTGATGCCTGAGTTCTCTTAAGCGTCGCACAAGATGAAATGCCTGCTTGCAAGTCTCTGCTTGCAACACCAACTGCGCGTCCCGATACGCAATGATGTTAGGTTGCATTTCAGCTTCATTATTTGCTTCTTCTCGTGTCGGTTCTTCAACAGGAACATTGGCTTAATTACAAATATTATACAATATTGCACATTCGTTTGTAATTAAACCTGCAACTTGTGGCTCTTACTGAAGTGTCCTGTGTACGAGTAGGCAACAGAAACGGGCCTTCAGAAGACCAATCGTTCTCTCTTCTCTTCTTCTGAACCTTCTAGTGCATCCAATATTGGTGTCGTTACGGTTCTCCTAAGAGGATATCCAGAATCATCTGTAAATATATTATAATACAAAATAACCTTGCCAAATTGAAACAGAGTAAATTTTCGAATATTAAATAAAATATTATTAAATAATATGCAATTTAAAATAAATTATTACTTACCTAGAAGCCATAGGCCTTCATTACTGCTGAGGTTATTTAGGTAAGCACATAGGGGATGATGGGACCAAATAAGCGAATCATGAGTACCTCTTCCGTGTCTCGCGTCAGTGCTAATTATTTGCATGTCTGCATTACATATCTGTAATGAATAAAATAATCACAACATGTCACAGTCACATTTGATTCACAATAACTTATTGCTATTCGTACCCTAACCCGTGACTGGATTAGTATATGTTAAATTTGAAAATAACTCAACTTACTAGTTGTACATTCAACGAGTGATAATTTTTACGGCAAAAACTTTCCTCATGGTCGTTTGGGCGTACAATGGCAATGTGAGTGCTGACTATACAGCCGATAACACCGGGCATCCCAAATTTGCTGTAAAATCTGAAATTATAAAACAATTATTATATTCCTCGTATTTTCTTGAATAAAGTAATCTCAGTACTAAAAAACCGACCTCAAAAGTACGTGGAATTACGTCTATTTGCTAAGTTTTATTGAAATATCCCCTAGTTCGCCACTATACAGGACTTGACACTGGAGATAATAAAAATCGGTTCTCACTGCTCAAAGTATATCGAAAGAAAAACGTCTTGAATTGGAGAAATAGCAAAATAAACCATTAAAATAATTGCTCCTAAGTTAAAGTTAGGTGCTATTTATAATAATAATCTCAGTACAGAGTACTAAAAAAAACCGACCTCAAAAGTACGTGGAATTACGTCTATTTGCTAAGTTTCATTGAAATATCCCCTGGTTCGCCACTATACAGGACTTGATACTGGAGATAATAAAAATAGGTTCTCACTACGACACTACACAAAGTATATCGAGAGAAAAACGCCTCGAATTGGAGAAATAGCAAAATCAACCATTACAGTAATTGCTCCTAAATTGAAGGCCTAACTTCAATTTAGGAGCTAGTTAGATAATAAAAATGAATCTTCATGCGTGAACAGCCACCCTTCGAGGTGAATGATTTTCTTCAAAATGAAATGGGACCACTATGGAAGTACCCCCTTCCAACAAAAAAAGAATCATGAAAATCGGTTCACAAATACCGGAGCTATCGCGTAACATACATACAAAAAAAACTAGATACAGTCGAATTGAGAACCACCTCCTTTTTTGAAGTCGGTTAATAATATTAGAGCATTAATAAATTATAATACGAACTGCAATTTATTGTGTCTGCGTTCTTCGGCCGACAATGGGAATTTAATGTACTTATTTCGCATATAAGACGTTTATATTAATGTTAAGTTTATTTATTGCAGATTTTACTTGAAGCAAGAACATTTCATACAGTTGACAGCTATACACAAGCCACGTAGCTCTCCCGTAGGCCTCTGATACAAACCATGAGCGTAAACGGATAAAGCTGTTAAAACCTAAGTACAGAGTAAACAGATAAATGAAATTACTCTAATGAACAAATCAATATCAACAGTTCTTAAATAAACCTAAGGTAAATACTTACCTTAGTCTCTACGGACAAATCTGACGACTTTGTTGGCATAAAATGATTAAAATGCAATTTTAAAACTGCAATTACATTCATACAACGATTATTACCTAATTTACACCAATTATTAAATTTATCAACAATACTTACTTTAAAGATTGCAAACTCGATCTGAACTATTCAAAAAACTTATTTAATTATTGATAATCTCAGTACAGAGTACTAAAAAAACCTACCTCAAAAGTACGTGGAATTACGTCTATTTGCCAAGTTTTATTGAAATATCCCCTATTCGCCACTATACAGGACTTGACTGGAGATAATAAAAATCGGTTCTCACTACTCAAAGTATATTGACAGAAAAACGACTTGCATTGGAGAAATAGCAAAATCAACCATTAAAGTAATTGCTCCTAAATTAAAGTTAGGCGCTATTTATAATAAAAATGAATCTTCATGCGTGAATAGCCACCCTTCGAGGTGGATGATTTTCTTCAGAATGAAATGGGACCACTATGGAAGTACCCCTTTCCAACAAAAAAAAAGAATCATGAAAATCGGTTCACAAATAACGGAATTATCGCGTATCATACATACAAAAAAAAAAGAAAAAAAAAGAACATACGGTCGAATTGAGAACCTCCTCCTTTATTGAAATCGGTTAAAAATTGGCAATATAGCTCAATCAGACAACAAATAGCAATGAAAATAATAAATATAATAAAAAATAAACGAAATTTCTTAAAAACTGTGATATTTAACCTATACATATGGCACATAATAACTAACATAGTATTACCTCAAAATTGCTTTATTATTAAATAATAATAATATTATTACCGATTTAGTGTCAAAGCGACAGTGTTGTCCTGTCGCTTTGAAATCAAATCGTATACGAATGACATTAAGTATAGCGAACATTGGAGGTAAATTATTAATATAACGCAATTTTGAGATAAAATATAATATAACGCCATTTTTGAGATAATACTATGTTAGATGTCAAGTGCGATATAAATTTTTTTTTTGAAAACATAAACAACTTTTTAACCGACGTCAAAAAAAGAGGAGGTTCTCAATTCGACTGTATGTTCTTTTTTTTTGTTTTTTTTTCTTGTATGTATGTTACGCGATAACTACGGTATTTGTGAACCGATTTTGATGATTCTTTTTTTGTTGGAAAGGGGGTACTTCCATAGTGGTCCCATTTCATTTTGAAGGAAATCATCAACCTCTAAGGGTGGCTGTTCACGCATGAAGATTCATTTTTATCAATAGCGCCTACCTTAAAATTAGGAGCAATTACTTTTAGCAGTTATTTAGTTGATTTTGCTATTTCTCCAATTCAAGGCGTTTTTCCCTCGATATACTTTGAGTAGTGTCGTAGTGAGAACCTATTTTTATTATCTCCAGTATCAAGTCCTGTATAGTGGCGAACTAGGGGATATTTCAATAAAACTTAGCAAATAGACGTAATTCCACGTACTTTTGAGGTCGGTTTTTTTAGTACTCTGTACTGATTATAAATAGCGTCTAAATTTTATTATAATGAGCAATTATAAGACACTAATTTGAATATTTTATCATTTCGTAGCTTATTTGCCTTATGATTTTTTGAAAATTTTGCAAGTTATTTATTTGGTGACGTCATCAAATGCTCTATAAATGTTAATCTTTGCGGCAGAGAATATGTAAATAGTCTCAGTAAAGAGTACAAAAAAAACCGACCTCAAAAGTACGTGGCATTAGGTACGTCTATTTGCTAAGTTTTACTGAAATATCCTTAAATTCGCCACTATACAGGACTTGACACTGGAGATAATAAAATATATGTAGATGGAGAGAAAAACGCCTTGAATCGGTTCACAAATACCGGAGTTATCGCGTAACATACATAAAAAAAGAACATACAGTCGAATTGAGAACCTCCTCCTTTTTTGAAGTCGGTTAAAAATGAATGTTCATGCGTGAACAGCTACCCTTCGAGGTGGATGATTTTCTTCAAAATGAAATGGGACCACTATAGAAGTACCCCCTTTCCAACAATAAAAGAATCATGAAAATCGGTTCACAAGTACCGGAGTTATCGCGAAACATACATACAAAAAAAAAGAAAAAAAGAACATACAGTCGAATTGAGAACCTCCTCCTTTTTTGAAGTCGATTAAAAATCGCATGCAAATGTGGCACTATTTGTAGTAGAGTGTTGTTTATGCAATGAAAATTTCAACATCGAAATCATTTCAACATTTGAATAACTTACCTTAAATACAAGTGGCATGTTTTTTCTGTATATCTAAAAAGTAGATTGGATACTTCTTAATGCAACCAACAAGATTTTTGTTATAAGAATGCTGCAAAGCACAACAATAATGATATAAATAAATAAACTTAACAAGTAATGTGCAAGTCGGAGACGTATTGGGGACTACATATTTCAAAATTTTCACTTTGATACAGTTCACCAAATCTCCGGTCGGCTACAAAACTAATAGAATATTATTACCTCGGAAATTTCACAGTAGTACTAACAGTGAAAAGAAAGACAAAGTGTTGTTTAATACATGTTTATCAACTTACTTCAAAGTGTTCTTCACAATAATAAATAGTGTAAACTTTGAAGTATCTCACGTTTACTTTACAACACCATTCTGTTAGGTATGAACACAGCACTTTCTGTATTCCATAGCTGTGTTATATTTAGTATTTTGTTGTATTCCATAGCTGTGTTATATTTAGTATTTTGTTGTATTCCATAGCTGTGTTATATTTAGTATTTTGTTGTATTCCATAGCTGTGTTATATTTAGTATTTTGTTGTATTCCATAGCTGTGTTATATTTTGTATTTTGTTGTATTCCATAGCTGTGTTATATTTAGTATTTTGTTGTTTTTCATAGCTGTGTTATATTTGGTATTTTCTCTCCCTGCAGCGAAATTAAAGTTGTAAAGACAGTAAGGTTAAGTTTACAAGCGTGAAGTGACATTTATTATTTTTTTTTGCATTTTTGGGTTACATTGCGCACGGACAAATCATTATAGAGCCACTGATGACGTCATTGAATGTCCAACAAAGGTCAATACTATTTTTGAAAAATATAAAGAGTCTCAACGTAACGTAATATTAATTCATAATGTTGCTCATACTCTTCGGTGGCGGCAGTTAGTACTGTGGGCGCTTGATGGGGAGGTCGATTCCCGATTTATGCCAATTTAAGAAACGAACATTTCTAAGTTGGTTTTGGTCTGAGTATTCTGGGTTATTGTTGATTTGGTACTCATAGTACCTACATAGGTCAGGAAATTCGGCAGTAGTTTGGCGTTTTTTCCCCCTAAATACTTCTCTTTGGCGTAGCTTTCAAGTTAAATCTTTCAAGTCAAAGCTTTCAAATGAAATCTAACATAGAGACGGTTGAGATTCAACTATCTAATTAGTGACGCGCATGAATGGATTAACGAGATTCCCACTGTCCCTATCTACTATCTAGCGAAACCACAGCCAAGGGAACGGGCTTGGGAGAATCAACGGGGAAAGAAGACCCTGTTGAGTTGAGTATTCAACTTAATTAATAATTGGCTTTAATTAATTAAATACATAAATTTTCGACTGCTATAATTTTGACTCTGCATCGCGAACGACCAGAAGTTTGCGCCCGCATACACGTAGAGAAGCGGCAATGCGAACGCAAACTGCAAAGTCGTCGGTCGGGAGGCTGTACAATACGTCTGTTGTTGTTATAAGTCTTCCCGACTCCCGACTTTTAGCGATCGCAGTGCAAGCTACCTCTCGCCTGTAAAAAAGATTTGTATTAGACAAATTTATTAGCTTTTAACACTGGCTGCTGCAGTGACGACGCAGCGCACGTGCGTGCGCGCGCGCACTCTAACACGTTGTTATGATGAGAAAGAGGGGGGGGATTGTTTTGGGTGCACGCCACACGCCGTGACAAAGTAGTAGAGTAATATACGCAGAGAGACTTGCTATTGGAAAACTATGGTTTTCTTAATTACAATGCGAACTCGGGTGATGGGGATGAGTGCTTTTATTAGATCAAAATCGAGCGAGGTCTTCGCCTGTCCGAAATAAATTTGCATGTCATGCAATGTTTGCATAAACTTTTGGTAGTTTCTGCGACTACCATGGTTTGTAATGGGAGACACCTGGATTAGATTCCAGAGGTAGTCTCACAAACGGCTACCAACATCCAAGAAAGGCAACAGACAAACTTACCCGCTCCCGGCACGGGGAGGTAGTGACGAAAATTAACGAAATAAATAATACCCGGGACCCGTCTTGAAACACGGTTACCAAGGAGTTTAGCATGTGTGCAGAGCGTCATTGAGACTGTCAAGAAGACGACGGTACAAAGTAAAAATAGTATATGGTAGGTAAGGGAAAAATTTACACGTTGGTGCCGTGATTTCGGAATAAGGCTTAACGCCGAATTAGTTCTGGAACAGTCCGAACTGGCAAAACGGAAGGGGAATCCAAAATGTGTAGTAAAGACCAAAGCATGCAATGGTCCTCGCGGGGTGGGTTGGTTGACGCAATGTGATTTCTACCCAGTGCTCCCTGAACGTGAAGAAAGTCAAAGCAAGCAAGCGCGGGTAAACGGCGGAAGTATCCACGACTCTCTTCAAGATAGAGCGGAATGCCTCGTCATCTAATTAATGACGACGCGCATGAGTGGATTAACGAGACTCCTTAAGCCGTCCCCTATATACTACTCCAGGTCC